TCCCAAAGGAGGGTAAAAATGAACTTTTTCAAGAGGCTCATTAAGCCCTTGTCAGAGCAGACTGACAGGGAAGTACTTTTCAAAGCTGGGCAGACAATTTTCAGTATGGCATAGACAGAAAGATATGCAATTGTCCCATGGGAGTCCAGCAGAAAGCCAATGGGAAGCCCGTGACAGGATGTGGGTGGTGTTAAAGTGGGAGGGCATAGGGTGGAGGGTGGGAAGGAAGCAGTGGGAAAATCTCCAGGTAGGGGTGGCATTGCATCACACCCATTAAGGTAGCAGCTACATTACTGCAGAATTAGTAGTGGATGGTAAGGTCTCACTAATAGGGTGAATGATGAAACTGTAAAAACTCATATTGGGGAAAATATGATATAAAACCAGACAAAAGGTGGAGTGGGGAAATGTTGATAAAATTTATAGGCCCGTCCCATGCAACATACAAAGAAAGAGCTCTCTGGGACTTGAGACAGCCCAAGGTGTCCTATGTAATAGGTTTCCCCCAGTCCCTAGGCTTTTCTGTTCTTAAAAAGGCTCCTTATCTGGGAGGCAAAATTCTTTTAAGATCTAGCACTACCTTCCAGCTCTGTGATTCCAGATGTTTCAAGAGAAGTATGAGATGAAAAGCAGCAAACCCTTAATTTATCAGGTGCTTTCTTTTCTTACTTAAAAAAAAAAATATACAGCCGGCTTTCTTTGCCACTCTCTGTCTCTCCTTGAGAATATGAGGCATGATTACTGAAGTGCTTCTGAAAGAATTCCATCGTCCTGCATTTAGAAATCCTGTGGGTGGAATTTAATAAGAGTTATGCAGAAGAAAGCTCACTTTTCAAAATGTGCCTTGTCTGCATGATGTTTGTGCAGATCACTTAGTATCAGTTATCCTATTACCCACAGCTGCTCACTCCACACTATCTAAATGCCATACATGCAATTCATCGAAACTTGCTTTCTGGTTTTGCTGTTTTTAGAATAATTTGTTCTAAAGTGACAAGCAAGTACCTTTGACAATGGTTCTGGTTCTTCATCAGTCTGTGAATGTGGGGCTCAGGATTGCGGCAGGAGGACAGACACTTAATACACCTTGCAGAGGGAAATGTGATTACTCTTTAACATATCAACATGTTTTGTCTAGAGACAACATCACATCCCTAATCAATTCCCCATTTTTCCTCCCCAAAACATACATTTGAGGTTATGAAATATTTCAGAGAACATAGATATGTGAAATGATGATTTAAAAAAAAAAAGGCTAAAATACTCATTAAGTTTCTGGAGAGAAGAAAAAGATTAAGAAAAGTTCTAAAACAACTTTAAAGAGCATGTAACACCTGAATCAGTATAATTAACAAAACATTTCTCCTATTTAAAATCCTAAATAATATTGATTATAAATGTACAGATATTTTTATATTCTTGGGACTGTGGCTTCCATCTTGTTTGTACGCCTCTGCCCTGTCTCTGGTTTGGTGAAGCCAGTGGCCGTGTTCTAAGCTGCCCTGTGGAGGCATCCAAGTACTTAAGGAAAGATTGAAGTACCCAGTTCGAGATCCTACAATGAAGTGAATCCTGTCAAAAACAGAGAATTCCTGAGCACATTCTGCCCCAGTACAACTGTAAGATGACTGAGGCCCTAGCCTACACCTTGAAGACTTGTGAGATACACTGAGCTGGGAGACAAAACTAAACTATGTCAGATTCCTGACCCACTGTAATGCTAAGATAATATATGTTTTTCTTTTAAGCTTCTAATTTTGGGGGCAATTTACAGCAATAAACAGCAATAAACAAATTATACATGCCCCATAAAATGTTCTTAATGAATATTAATCTCCTCCATTCCCAAATGATACTAATTATTTTGGGAGTTAATCAGAAATTGTCTTGCATTGTTTACATAGTGTTAATTAATCATTTTCAAATGGTATTCTGTGGAGCCTAAGGGATGTATGTATATAAATATGTACCTTTTTTGTGTAGTGCAGGTGTATTTTTGAGGGGAAAGTTGAAATGAGGAGGTTAAGTAAGCAGGGCTCTGGTTCAATTTCCCTTACCTTAGTAAGAACAATTTCTTTCACCTGTTAGATAAATGGCATCTAACTGGGGAAAGAGATACTATTTTTAAAAGTTTATAAATTACTGACTTAAATGTTTCATGGAGTTATGGTTTGTCTACCGCTAAACTTAATACAATGTAAGCTTTTTAAGGATCAGGAGCCATTGAATACTTTTAGACAGTCTGGAATTTTCATTCAGGTATCCAAATCTAAAGTTTCCATCCCAAAACTTTTAAATTCTACTTTATAAAATATGCTCAGTCAAGTAAAATAAAATAAAATAGTCCGTAAGTCAGGCAACAGTATTACCATTGTACAACTTGAGAATGTGATTAACATGACAATAAATTTAGAGAACAAAATTGGTTCTATGCCTGAATGACCATTTAAACCATAAAATAATAGAATCTCAGAATTGAGATAATAAAGGTCATCATTCCTTAAAATACCCACCTATGACTTAACCTCCCTATAGCTCTTTATCAAATTACTAGTCTATTCTTTGAGAAATTCTTGTAATAACAAACTAGAGGCATAAAAAAGAAAGTTCACAAGTTGGACTAAGGATATTGTCATTGGAAATCCTGAATTTTGACAACTACATCCTCGATAAAACTCAATATGCTTAATGTAACTGCTGAAGCTACTGCCTCTGGAAGTATAAGATTTTATAACAAAAATAGGGTACAACACAGTTAATACATTAATTCATTCATTTATACTTTTATTTATTCTTCTCCAGTACTCATATTTTGAAAAATGTTGCCTATATTCACCTATTCTCTACTTCCTTTCATGCATTACTTCACACTCTGCTCTATGGCTTCCACTCACACCATTCCACTAAAACTGCTCTCTCCAAGGCCAACCATGATTTTACATTATGATACTTATTCCACAAACTATAGAAGGCTAACTCATGAAGATGTTGTACTTTATCAGATATTTAAGATTGAGAAGAAATAAAAGATAATTCCTAAATGCTTAGTTTTAAATACCTGGTTACTAACTCTTCTTCTACTTTATTCCCAAGGAAATTTCTAGATTTTTCTCTTCTCCTTAATATCTCTAAGACCTTGTTGTGATAATTGGAGTAGTTTGTAGACAGAGAACAACAACAAAAAAAGAAGTTTGCTGAGGAAAGTAGAAAACTAGTAGAAGCATAAGGAAAGAGAGAGAGGGAAAATAAAAGAGGAAGTTTGAGCTTGAGTTATTAATAAAATAAAGAGTGACAAGAGAAAAATAGCACAGCTATAGTGTGTGAAAGACTTGATTAACAGCTGGAACAATGGAAGAGATGTTAAGTGTTGTTTGTTATTAATTGGACCTTCAGTAATGTTCTAAAAGAAATACCAAAAACAAAAAAATGAAAGATGAGAATTACAAATTGCCTCATCAGACACACTATACAGTTGACTCTTGAACAACAAGAGTTTGAACTGCATTGGTCCACTTACATGTAAATTTTTTTCATAAAATATATTGGAAACATTTTTGGAGATTTGAGACAATTCAAAAAAACTTGCAGATGAACCTGATAGCCTAGAAATATCAAAAAAATTTTAAGAAAAAATTAGGTATGTCATGAATGCATAAAATATATGTATATTCTTCCTAGTCTATTATATCATTTAATACTATAAAATATACACAAATCTATTATAAAAAGCTAAAATTGATCAACAATTAAACACACATTTATAGACCATACATGACACCATTATCAGTTGGGAGCAATGTAAACAGTATTAAATCATAAATGCATAAAATCAATCATAGTACATACTGTGATAATTTATTAGCCACCTCCCATTGCTACTGTAGTGAGTCCAAGTGTTAGGAATATTCACTTAAAACTTTCTGTGATGCTAAGCATCTCTATTTTGAACAGTTTCTCTCTCCAGTAAATTGTGTATCATAATAAAAAGTTATCTCTCACAGTTCTTGCATATTTTTCATCATGTTTAGTGCAATACTTGAAAAGCACCATGAGTCCCATACAGAGTGACAATAGTGATGCTGGAAGTGCTCCCAAGAGGCAGACAAAAGTAATGACATTACAAAAAATAAGTTGAATTACTTGGTATGTACTGTAGATTGAGGTATGCAGCTGCAGTTGCCCATCATTTCAAGATAAATGAATCCAGCATAAAGATCATTGTAAAAAATGAAGAGGAGATTGGTAAATCTCTTGCTGCAGCTATGCCAGCAGGCACAAAAACCTTGTACTCTTGCAAAATGCCTTTTTATCTCATTTGAAAATGAAGCATTTATGTGGGTACAGGATTGCTATAACGAATACCTAGAGATTCTAATATGATTTGAGAAAATGCAAAGTCATTGTATAACAACTTAAAAGAAAGGTGAAGGATCTAAAGCTGGATAATTTAATGCCAGCCAAAGATGGTTTGATACTTGTAGAAAGAAATTTGGTTTAAAAAATGTCAAGATAACAGAACAAGAAGCTTCTACCAACCAAGAGGCAGCAGACAACTTCTCAGATGCCTTTATGAAAATCATTAAGAGTAAAGGATATCTGTCTGAACAGGTTTTTAATGTAGACAAGAGTTCCCTATTCTGGAAGAAAAATGTCACAAGGACATCTATTAATAAGCAAGAGAAGTGAGCACCAAGATTTAAGGCAGGAAGAGACAGGCTAGCTCTACTGTTTTGTATATTCTTCATGTCACTAAGGCTTAAACTTGGAGGAGCTGAAGATTATTCAGGTAAAATATTACAACATCTTTAAGTGAGGACAACAAGTGTCCTTTTCCTTGATCCTGTGCTTCGAGATGCCCCTACTTTTGTCTGTTGTGGCCACATTCCCCCCTCATGGGTCAAGAAGGCTTCGAGGCTAAGACAATGGCCACAGAAGGCCATATCCCCAAGTTCCAATATACCAAGCCCTGTGATATTCTGTCTCAATGTCTTTTCACCCACCTCCAGAGCCTAGGTGGTTATCTTACATGATAACTCCATCCAGAGAGTGGTTATCAAAATTTGTATAGCCCAAGGAGTGGCAAGAGGTTACTCTTTTCAAGGGGGAGCAAATGGGACTTGATCATGAGACTCCAGTTACAGGCACACATATGAGGACACTTATGTGATGGAGCCAGGAATGAAGAAAGAAGGAACAGCCAGGAACTGGGGATTAGAAGTTGGAGCTCCTTGTATGCCATTCTGGAATGGAACTATTAGGAATCCAACAATTTAAAATTCAAACTTAAGTTGTTATGAAGATTAGAAAATAATCCATATTTTATTTTACAGTTTGTCAACTTGATTTCTAACTTTTAAATATTTGATATTATTTATCTATTAAAATACAAAAATATTTGATAAGTATTTGATATAACATTTGGGCCTCCATTTCAACTTTTCTCTGGGCCTTATGAATGCTTGGGATAGGACTACATGTTATTATTATTGCTTGAATGATATCAGGGAGATATACAAGATGGAAAAAAAAATTGGGGGCAAAAATATTTATATATGAAAGCATAAAACAGCCTGGCATATTTGTCTAGTTTGGTAAACTCTGCCTTTTGATAGATTATTTAATTAATTCACATTTATTGTTGTTATTGATATTTTTGGATTTATATCTGCCACTTTACTTTTTGTTTCCCATGTGCCTCAATGTCTTCTTTTGTGTCTCTCTTCTTCTATTACTACTTTCCTTTGCATTAACTGAATATTTTCTAATATATCATTTGAATTTCTTAAATGATTTTTTCACTATAATTTTTGAGAATATTTTTTGTTAATAATTGTTCTAAGGTTTACAATATCCACCTTAACTTACCAGAATCAGCTTTAGATTTACACTAGCTTTATTGTAGTGACATTTAAAAACATTTCTCCTGTACAGTTCTATTTTGTTTTTTCCTCTTTTGTGGTATTGTTGTGCATATATTAATTAATGTTACAAACCCCAAAATACATTGTTATAATTATTACTTTATCCTCTGCAGTCATTTTCTTAACCAATTACAACTTTGCTTCTACCCACCTCTTTTGTGTTGTTATTGGTAAAATATATTTTTGTGTGTTATAGGCCCAATAATATATTATACAAATATTAATTTATACAATTTTTTTAAACGAGTTCAGAGAAGAAAGAGAAAATATGCATTGACAATGCCTTTTATAATTACATCATTATCTTTACTGGTGCTCTTTATTATGTATAGAGTCACATTATCATCACTTGCTTTTAACCTAAAGAATTTTCTTTGGTATTTCTTATTAATCAGGTCTGCTAGAAAAAAATTCTCTTCATTTTGTTTATCCGGGAATGTCTTTATTTTGCCTTTTTTTAAAAAGATAGGCTTGCTGAATATAAAATTATTGGTTGACAATTTTGGTGTTTTTCATTAAAAAAAATACATCAGCTATGTTAACCCACTGCCTTTAGACCTCCATCATTTCTGCTGGGAGGTTAACTGTTAATCTTATCAGGGTTCCCTTGTAAGTGAACAGTGCTTTCAAGGTTTTCTCTTTGTATTTGACTTTTAGTATTTTTACCATGGTGTGTCTGGTTATGGATTGGAGTGGGTTGCTTTTTTTAAAATCCTATTTGCTGTCTGTTGAGCTTCCTGTATGGATAGTTTAGTGTTTTTCAGTAAATTTGGGGAGTTTTCAGCAATTATTTCTTAACATATTTTGTCTTCCTCTTTCTCTCCAAATGACATTCCTGCTTTAGGAACTGAGATTTTGGTAGAGGGGTGGGAAGCACCCACATATCTTGCCAGCTTGCCTTTCTTGGTATGTAAACACCATTTCATGAGCCAGAGTGGTAGAGACCCAGTAGTGTCAACAGTTCTATGTCCAAGGTAGGGCCTTTATCCCATGAGTGGTGGTTAGGCAAAAGAAGGGAATCTTCATTTCATCACTATACTTGTCTGAAACTTAACCCCAGCAACAGGTAGCTGAAGGCAGGATGAGAAATGTTAACATCCTGTTTTCTCAGGAAGAAAGCCCTTTCAGCAGGGGGCTTGGGTGACAGAGTCCTTTGTTATTGACTGCCTAAGTCTGCTTTATGTGTACCTTCCTGAACCTGGAGGAAGAAAGAAGGAGTCTTGGTTTAAATTCTACACATTCATGTTTTTCTCACTGAATTTTTATCAATACGTGTTTATTTACTGGCTGCTTGCCCTTATGACTCTTTTCAGAGGCTTTTAATTTTTTTTTAAATAATTTCACTGGGGAATGTGTCTGCAGAGCTTCTACCCTGTCATTCCAGAACGGTCTAGCATATTTGGCCTGTTAGGTGAACTGTAAGCTGCCTCCTCTGCTGGAGCATTCAGGGCATGTGAGTCAGAGATGTGAGAGGAAGACATAGAATGTATCCTTTCAACAATGAATAGCAATTGAGGGATTATAAGAAGGGGAGAGAAATGAATACATTTGTATTACAGAACAACATTTTTTAAAAAAACAAATAAGCTGATGTGATTTCTCAGTAGGCTTTAGCACCTGTTTGTGTCCCTGTACTTCTGCACTGAGCTCCTTGGATAAGCTACATCATGATTTAATGTGAAGAAAGGAAACAAAAAGGAGAGACAAGAGATATTTTTGCTGCATTATATATTAGTGCTTTTACCTGAATATTATACACTTTGAAAAACATGGAAAATAACTGATAAAAAAAATGAAGGAGAAAACCCTGTTAGCCAGCCAGATCTGGGAAATGCTGTGAAGTATATTTCTGTCTTGGATATTTATAATGCACAGTAGCATTAAAAAAATCCTCAAAAGTATTGAAATAAAGAAACTTGTGTAATTATCCTTATCCACAGTTTTCAAATTTTTTAAGAAATGGGGTTCTTTTTCATGTATTAGCTATAAACCCCCCTCAGTAGAGCTCTTTGATGAAACAGATTTTCAAAAGGTGAGTGCCAAATTTCTAACTCTTAAAATATTCATGCTTCACTAAAAATAGATAAATATACCTAATGTTAATTATAAGGGAAATAGTTCTACCCTTGAGAAAAATTAAAAAGTAATAAACCTTAGAGCTGCCTATGAGAGAGACAAAGAATAAAACTGTTTGGGATATATATTGAAATTCTCTAATAGCATTAAGTTTTCAGAATTGGGTGATTAATTTAATCTTTAAATGTGGTCCAGAATTATTCAGTAACTAGACGGTGAGGTAGGTGTTTAAGTGGAATCATTTCATGTAAAAAATGCAATGTCATTATGAAGTAATTAGATGGATTTTATATGGTACAAAAGCCATCCTGAGCTTGTTTCCAAAAGAAGGATTTTTTAAGTCTTTGTAAAATATCACTATCATTAGTATCAAAATACTCTTTCTTAAAATAACAATTTTGAAAGGCAACGTGTACCTTTTGCTCATTTCAAATTTAATCCAGGAGACTTCTGAATCAGAGTAAGAGCATATATATATAAACAAACTCAACTCTCTTCCTTCCTTACTTAGGGAAAACATACAAAGTATCAAAGTATAAAAAATACAGCAAAAATACTATAAATAATGTAACATGTCATTTGTCACAATTCTAAGCCTCATGCTAAGAAACATATTTAGCTAAGAAGATAAAGTCTGAACTTGGAGAAGGGACCGTCTGAAAACCAACATGTACAACTTAGACTGTAAGAAAACTGTGGATTTTTCCAAAATAAGAACCCTTAGCTACCCAGTGAGTATAATGCTGAGATAAAGGGTTCATGGCAGTCATGAACTGCCATGACTGTAGCAGGAAATGTCACCGAAGATTCCAGTGTGATAGCACAGAGCAGCAGGGAGGCTGAGAACAGAGCACAACTCATGACCACATGTCATTCCTCCTGTCTATAACCCAGTCCCCTGTGAAGGGAGATTGTTGAATAAGGAACTCAGAGAAGGAAAGGCAATGGGAGATTTTGTGACTTAAAGCACTTTGAGCTACAACAGTTTTTGAATGCCAAAAACTGAAGAAAAAGCTATCTCCCAAACAAACAAACCATATAGCAGAGTTCACATGTATGTTCTGAGAAGAAGCTGTGCAGTGACCCAAATTACCCTTCCCTCTCCGACTTCTAAACCAGGCACTTCATAATCCAGCAGGTACTAAAATTGAGAAATATTTTTATTAGTATAAAAGTGAGTCAAGCTCTACTTCAAAGTTAGTATTATGCTTAATGATCAAACACTTGGAACATACCTATTAAAAACAGAAAACAGAACCAATATCCATGGTCTGTGCTGTTATTTAGTATTTTTCTTGGATGTAATAGAATAATTAAAGAGATTAAGGATTAAGACATATAGAAATGGAAAAGAAGAAAAATCATATACCTGGAAAAGTCAAAAGAAGAAACTGAAACACCATTTAAAATGATAAGAGAATCCAGTAGAGTGGCTAGGTTCAAAAGTAACATGCAGAAATCAATACCCTTCATATGTGTGAACAATAAGAAATTAGAAACAATATTAGAAGGAAACTATGCCATTAAAATATCATCAAAAAAGATAAATCTAGGAATAAACATAACAAGTAGTATAAGATCAATATGAGTAAAATTTTGAAATGCTGCACAAGAACATGAGAAGAAGACTTGAACAGATGGAGAAACATATTATGTTGTTGGAAAAGAACACTCAAGATCACAAAGATGCCAGTTTCCCCAAAGTAAACTGAAAATGTAAATTAATCCCATTAAAATATCAGTAAGATTTTAAAACTATATATAAGTTAATTCTCATATTAATGTGCATAATAAAAATGTGAAGAGTACCCAAGAAAACTCTAGGATTACATAATGGGATGGGTCACCAACCTCAGCAGATAGGAAACATGCTAAAGCTAATCAAAAGGTGGTATTGGCACACAAACAGAAAGACAGAAAAATAAAGCAGAAGAAATTGCTATGAGAATGAAAAAAGAAATCACAGACTGGGAGAAAATATTTGCAAAGCACATATCTGATAAAGGATTTGTATACCTCTAACCTTATACCTCTAACCTTTGGTAGGGAGAGGCAAAGATATAAAATGTAACCAAAATGTTAACAAAAAAGAAAAAGAAACATTTGCCGGGTGTGGGGCTGGTGGGGGGCGGAGAAGGGGATGGGTATATACATACATAGTGAGTGTGATGCGCACCGTCTGGGGGATGGACAGGCTTG